AGGCCACCCTCCTAGAGCCCCCCCACACAAATTGACCTCGCTGGGCCTGCTTTTATGAAAGGTTTATTCCTAGTGCTAGATCCCAATCTTGGGCTCTAAGCACAATTAAACTGGGTGGGTGGGTGAGGGTAGGCCTATTCAGATGCAAGGCCAGCGATGGGGCTCCCCATTATCCCCACCCCTTTGGTCCCAGTCCCCTTCTCTGCAATGGGCACGCATAGAGGAGAGACAAAGGGTATTGGATGCAACATCATTGGCCCAGGGGAGCCCAAGAAGAGCTGCCATTGGCTGACAGGGCATTTTGAGGCTCTGTCATTGGTCGGGGGCACACCCCAGCCTGAGGAGTGATGCCATTGGCCAGGGAGTGGTTTTGTCATAGCCGTTGGCTATGAAGTGGAAGGAAGAGATCTGGGAATGAAGCCCTGTGGCCAGAAAGATAGGGCAGCAGCTTCTGGGCCTACAGGCCCTCTTCCCACCATAGCAATGTGGGCAAAACTGGTGTCAGGCCCCAGCCAGAAAAAGGAGCCCAAGCTAGAGGGCAAGTGACAAGGGATGTCCCATGTCCAATCTCCCACACACCCTGGGGCTGCCCTTCCCAATGTCCTTCTTGATAGCCAAGTTGGGCTGGGAGCAGCTCACTGCTCCTCTAGCCAGGAGGGTTTCTCAGCTCCTGGAGGCCGCAGCTTGATGTTGAACTGCTGCAGGGTCTGCTCCAGCTGTTTCTGGTTCCCAGCAAAGTAGGCGGACACGGCATTGTGGAAGAGCAGCAGCTGCTTGTGCATCACCTTGATCTGGGGGTCCAGCAGGGTCAGCTAAGGCTGGACTCAGGCGCCCTTCTTGAGGGTCTATGAGCCTGAGCCCAGGCACAGACCAGGGGCACAAGGCCTCTGCTCTGAGGGTGCTTTTGGGGTAAGGGCTGAATTCTACCCAGGGAGTCAAAGGAGAAGGGTCAGTCTGATGGAAGAAACCTCACTTGATTTGTTGGGCCTAGGGTTTTGGTATCCCAGCTAAGGGGGTGATTTTTCCTAGTAATGTTCCTGGGACCAGCAGCCAAATCCTCCAATAGGAAAGGGCCAGGAATTGGAGGGAGGGTGATCTGGAAAGGCCCAGGGGTTGAGAGGGGGCTGAGGGGGTAACATTCTACTCCCTAACTAGGCTGCATTTTCCCATTCAATATGGGGAGGGTCTGAGGGGAAGGTTAGTGTCACAGATGGAAAGGTGGGCTAGGGTCAAGAAGGGTGGGGTTGGCACCTTGTTTTCTTCCAGGAACTTGAGCTTGATGGCCACATCTCCCCGCAGCTTCTCATACTTGTCCCGATGGGCCTGGAAAGTGGCCTGGGCACTCTCGAGTCGACCACGTGTCCCTGCATCCCGGGGGCCTAGGCTCAGCTCCTCTAAGTCTGTTCGGTAGGCATCATATTCCAGCCTGGGGAGGGGGTGATACAGGCTGGTCTCCACCCCTTTGTCTTCAACACATACTCTCCTTTCCTTCCTGAATTCTTAGGCCCCTAATGCCCAAATTTCCTCCCATGCCAGCCAACTCCCGAAACCCCGCCAGTGCCCACACCTGGCAGCCTCATACTGTTTCACAGTCATGAGCGTGTCTTCCATGGTCTTGGTGACCAATGTGTTGATGCTAGAGACAAAGAAGTTCACGGCTCCTAGTAGCGTTTCCCCATTCTTGCATAGCAGTTTCTGTGTCTCTGCATTGTAGCCAAATTCCTCCTGAGGGCAGAAGGGAGGAACAGGCCTTGAATAACACTCCCTACGAGACTGGAGCTGTAGAGCCCTTCATTCCCCTCCTCCCCAGGGAGGAAACAGCCAGCAAAACTGGAACAACCAAGGACTGCCTCCAGCAAGGCTCTCTTAGCCAGAAAGTTAGGGGGGTCACCCTGGGGATACCTGGGGTAGGAATGTGGGTGGTGGGCATTCTTGGATAAGTTCACAAGACTGGAACAGTCTGAGAGCTAGTGTGGCAGGCAGGGGAGGGGCTCTGATTAGGTTAGCACTGAAGGCATTCTCCCCAATGCAGACAGGGGTTATTTGTGAGGCACCTAGTGTGCCCCCTCCCCCACCCCCTCCAACTTCTGGACCTCTGTACAAACCCTTAGGCTGCCTCCACAGGTGAGTGCTGCTGGGGGTAGGGCTGGGCCCACCCTGAAGGGGTTCTCCCTGTGGGCTGCAGGAGGGAGGGAGGATGAGGAATGACTGCCTGAGAGGGCCCGTGCCCACTTCCCCCACCCTCTTTGGTCTGGCTGAGGCACCTGAAGCTCTGGGGACTTCTGGCTGAGGTCAGCAAAGGCATCACCCAGTGCATGCTGGGTCTGCAGCAGGCTGTAGAGGTGGGCTGTCAGTGCCCGGCCCAGCTGCAGGACACTCTCATACTTGCGCTTCGTCTCACGCAGCAACTCAATCTGTAGCTCTAGCTCCAGGTCCACAGTCCGTGAGCCTCGACCAAATCGTTCTGATAATAGCTGCTTTGTGCACTGATTGGGAAATGGGGGAATTGGTCAGAGACCCTAACAGCCTCCTCACACAACAATATCTATCCCAGCACCCTCAGGCTCCTACTCTCAGCCACAGATGAGGTATTACTATCATGAAGAAAAGGGAAAAAAGGTACCCATAAGGAGTTTTGAGGAAGGGAGATGTGCTTAAATCCTACCTTATACGTGTTGATGCCCCATTTCTTGACAATGTCGAACTTCTCTCCAGCGATGCCCCGAGCCACCTCATCTCCAGGGACAGCAGGAGTGGTGCTGTGAGATGGATGGCGGCCAGACCCTAAAGGATCAAGTTCTCTGACACCAGCCTCTCTTAGATACACCATACCTCTGTGGCCCCACCCATATGTCTCTCCCAGCACATGAAATTGACTTCCCTGAAGGAAATGCTAGAGACAACTGGATTCTACTGCTTAATAGGAGGAACTCGAATCTTGCATGGTGAGAGTCAAATCCTGATATATATATATGACTTCCTTAGTGGTTGGAGGAGGGGTTTGCAGGGAGTTGCTGGTGTACAGGGGCAGAGGAAACAGAAGAAAATACACTGACTTTGGGGGTAGCAGGAGTAAAGGATGGTGGATCATGATAACAAGAAACCTGGTTGCATTCCCATGTGGAATCTTAGTGTGAGATTCAGGACTATTTGTTCCTCTAAACTTTAGAATCTAAAGTAAAATTCTGAGAAGCCTCACAAAGTTCCAACTCAGCCTCAAGCTGTAGAGTAGGGCATTACTGTGAAGTAGGTCTTAACTTTGCTCCGGTGGTGGTACGGAAAGGACAAATGAACCATTTCAGGGGCCAAGTGGCAAAAGGGAAGTGGATGGACAATGCTGGGAGTTGCTCTTGGGCTGAGGAGAGTCCATGGGGTTCATACAAGCAGAAGTTCCCAAGATCTCTAGACATAATTCAAGCTTTCCTTGACATATCCTATGCTTCCCCAAACCATTCCTGTCCCCTCCTCCACCCAAGCTTCCTGTTTCTGAACATTCATACCTGTGGGGATGAGTCCATCACCAGAGCCCCCATAGCCACCAGACACAATGCTGGTTTCATTGAGGTTGGGTCCTGACACCATCACCTGCTGGAGGTCCTATAGGCCAGAGAAGAGGGGTTGCTTCAGGAACATAGGTGGAGCAGAAGCATTTTGGAGGTGGGAACAAGTTTGGATTCAAGCATCATAAAGACAGTATACAAGGGAACTCTGCACAGAATCAGAATGATATGTAAAAAGAATGGAGTCAGATAAGTCAGGGGAAGGCTACTGGAATAGGGGGTGAGAACCCAGGGCTTAGAAATTGGATTCCTAAATTGAAACAATTAGAAGAATCAAACAGAAGCACCTGCTCCAGCCCATCATCTTCAGGAAGCTGCCTGGCTTCGCCGTTCCCGTGGATAGGGATCTCCATTGTGGCTGCCTTCCCTAGGATCCCGTCCGTCATGGCTAGGGAAGGTATTGGAGTAAAACTCTCCACCCCAGCACCCTGCAAAGCCCAACACAGAAGTTCTGGACACCGGCCAGCACTCTAGAAGAAGGAGGCCTCCTCTGTCATTTCTGAGGTTTTAAAGGCTGTCCCAGGGTTTGAGTGTCCCAGCGTTTGGCCACCGTCCCTTTCTTCAGGTGTATGTATTTCTCCCCTCCCAAATGCACATGTGTACACAGGCACACCAAAGCACTGTGTCTCCTCACAAGCCCCCAACCTCACCAGGACTCTGGTGATTATTCATATACTCATTCGGTCATTCAGCAGACATTTAGTGGGTGCCTACTATGTGTCAGGCACTATTTCTAACAATTAAAATACAACAGTGAAGAGGGAAAGTCCGCTCTCTTAGAACTTATCTCCATGCAGGCGTGCTTATGCTGAGCAGGAGATGAACCCTTTCCAGGGCTCAGGTCTTCACCCCCTCCGCCCAATTCAGGTTTGTTCTCCATTGCTTGGCCTTTCACACTCCTTTAGTGTTTCTTCCCCCTCCCTTCAGGGGGTCTCCCCCTCCTCTGTCCCATGCATCTCCTCTTCCTCGGGCCCTCCCCACCAGGCCTTAGTTAGATCAGTTGGTGTATGTTCCCACTCTGGTAAAAGCCTCTCTTTCCCAGGATAGCGGTGATCCCTTCCACAGTCAGTTATGTCTCCCAGGTGTGTGAGTCCCCGCCCCCACCCCCATACACCTGGACATCAGGTGTGTCCTCATCCTTCCCCAGGGCTCGGGGCATCTTGCCCTCTGGACAGGTTTGTGCGTTCAACTTCCCGTCGCCCAAGCATGTTCCTCTCACCTCGGGCCGGGCCGCTCTTCCCCTCAGGGCGCCAGGCCCGGGCCGCGCGGGGACCTCGGGCTCCAGTTCCCGTCGCGATCCTAGCAGCAGGTCAGGGACTCGGCGGAAGTGACGTCCTCTCCGGGCAGAAGAAGCCGGCCACGTCGCAGATTATAAGGGCGGAGGTGACGTCGCAGCCGGGGGCAGGGCGATACTCGAGCTAGTTCTCGAGAGCGGCGGGAGGATATTTCCGGGGCGGTACCGAGAAGCTGAAACGGAAGTGGCGTAGGGCATGCGCCGGTGGCGTGATGGAGCAGCAGCCTCAGCAACAACAGCAACTTAGAAACGTGAGTGACAACTAAGTCGTTTCGGGGCCAGACGTTCACCTCGCATTCCTGCGCACATCGCGGGAACCCTATGGAGCCAGGGATTTGAGGGCTGGAAACATCGGGCTATGGTGCGCGGGCCTGGGAAACTTCGGGCGGCGAGACCTTTAGTAGAAGTGTGGTCTCCCTTTTCTCCCAGCTGCGTGACTTCCTGTTGGTCTACAATCGGATGACAGAACTCTGCTTCCAGCGCTGTGTGCCCAGCTTGCACCACCGAGCTCTGGACGCTGAGGAGGTGGGGAACTGTGTAGGGAGGTTACGCTACAAATAGTTTAGCAGTAGACTGCTTCTCTCCTCTCCCCACTTCCCCTACCTCTGCCACTGGCATTTTCCACGACTCTCACCCCTAGGCTGGGCATGGGGAAGGAAGGAAGGAGGCGGGCCTGACAGGACAGACACCTTTACCCTCCACTTAAACCCTGTCTTCCTTCTAGGAGGCCTGTCTGCACAGCTGTGCTGGGAAGCTGATCCATTCCAACCACCGCCTCATGGCCGCTTACGTGCAGCTCATGCCTGCTCTGGTACAGCGCCGCATCGCAGACTACGAGGCTGCCTCGGCTGTGCCAGGCGTTGCTGCTGAACAGCCTGGGGTCTCTCCATCAGGCAGCTAGCCATCCCCAACCCCAGGAAGGAAGGCCCTGGACGGACTTCTCTGATTGAAGGACCCCAGTGGACCTTGGGGTTGGTGAATCCTATACAGAGAGAATTCGAGGTTGCCTGAAAGCTGGGTGTCCTTGCTCCTTTTCCTGGAGCCAATAAACCCGCTTTTTATTCGGTTTGATTTATATTCTGGGCAAGGAAGCTTTGCCTGCTTAATTGGCACAATCCTTTGTTCTGTCATTTAGTACATATCCGCTGGCTTCAGCCTTGGCAGCTGAGGAATTTTCTTCTATATGTATAAGGAAAACCTGAGCATTTGTAGGCAGCTGGTTAAAGCAGGCTCTGTGTGTACAGTTTTAAGATGGGTAATATGTCATGCTTTACCTTAGTTCATCTTTACAACAAAACTGTGAGTAAGAGGTATTAGCCTCATTTAACAGATGAGGAAGCAAGAATCCAGAATGTACCAGAAGGCCAATTTATACAACAGGAAATTGGTTCCTGCCCAGATGACAGGAAATGGGAGCTCTGTCTAGTTGTCCTTAAGTCTGACTGACTTCAATGGCTCATAATCGTGAGCCAAGTATTTGTTGGTTCATAACTGTTTTGTGAACTATGTCTTACATGTCTAGAATTCTGCTGGATCTAGGAAAGGAGAAGCTATCTAAGTACAACCGGTCAGAAAAACCACAGGGCTTTTAGGTACTGCCTCCTTGAGAAGTTAGTGGCCACAGAAGAGAGATGAAACCTGTAAGAAGTCTGGGGTCTTTTGGAACTTCAGCCATTTCCCCAGCTTGTTACTTTCTTAGTATTTACAGTCTTCCCAGGATGAGCAGTAAAACCTTTGAACAAAGAAGTCTGTGCTTGTCTTCAGGGGCAATCAGTAAGGGAGAAAGTTGGGCACATAATCTGCAATACAGCCAAATCTGAGGGAGAGAAACGGAAGGGCTAAAGGGACAAGTAGATGGCAGTCGTTGTGATAAAAAGGATAAAACTAAATATTTGGGACTTCTTAATGCTACTTTAATGTTTCACTGCTTGTCTAGAATTTCCTAATTCCAGCTTTCTATCATCTGCCCCATACTGGTTCCATGGAAATCTGTGATTTCTAATTCCAGCCTCTCCATTCTTTTCTCATTATTGCCTCCCCCACCTCCCACCTTTGTGTAATTTACTTCTGTATTCAGCAGCCTGAATAGCATACCATTCCATCACCCTATTTTCTTGCCACCATTGGCCATCTTTTTGTATCATTCTACTTATTCTGTCTTTTCTGTTCCTCCAAACTACTAGACTAAAACAGTTGTGTAATGAATGCCACTAAATATTCAAGGCCTCCAACCTTAGCCAAGTCCTCACATCTACACGCAGTCCTTTACCTTTATGGGTTCCTGGTCCATTTCCTTCTCTAATTACCATGGCAGTTATTTTATACCTTCACTATTGTCCTTAATCACATACCCCACATCAAGTGACCCTGTTTCTTTTTTTAAAGGAATTGAAGCTCTTAGACATTGGTTCCACAGTAATAAATTTTAAAATTTCTTACAACTACGCACAAAGCAGATGTTCTGTTCTATCTACAGAGCAGAAAATTTAAATTCTCAAGTAGCAAGCCCAGTATTAAAGTGCAGATCTGACTTTAAAGTCCATGTTCATTTTACTCACCAGGCTGCCTCTTAAGATGGTATTTATTGAGCACCCACTTTGTATAGGTTCTGATTTTGGTAGATGTCATGTTTTATCTAATCTTTATAATGCAACTATAAGAGGTATTAGCCTCACTTAACAGATGAGCAAGCAACAATCCAGAATGTGCCAGAAGACCCTTTTATAGACAGTTCTTGTTTTTGTTTTTGAGATGGAGTCTCACTCTGTCTCCCAGGCTGGGGTGCAGTGATGCTATCTTGGTTCACTGCAACTTCTGCCTCCCGGGTTCAAGCAGTTCTGCCTCAGCCTTCCGAGTAGCCTGGGATTACAGGCATGCGCCACCATGCCCAGCTAATTTATTTGTATTTTTAGTAGAGACGGGTTTCACCACATTGGCTGGGCTGCTCTCGATCTCCTGACCTTGTGATCTGCCTACCTTGGCCTCCAAAGTCCTGGGATTACAGGCGTGAGCCACTGCGTCGAGTCTATATACAGTTTCTTATTGAGAAAAAATAGTTCCAATCATATTTTTTGCCCCCTTTAGCTGCCATCTCTTGAACAGAAAAGTTTGTTTGGATGGTAAAAGTTGCTGACCAGGACCTTCCCCACGGAGTTGCTTTCTATTTAATGAAATTATTGTCCTTGGGAAATATAAATGCAAGTAAAACAGGTTGTGAACTTCTTAACTTCCAGAAGACAGGAGGATGGGACCTGTGATACCATGCTGCCAGTGGGAGGACTCTTCCACATCAACATTTGTGTGTATCCTTGCAATAAACTTCCATTGTGAATATTTGTGCTTCTCATCTTTCCATGTCATATGATAGTAATTTCTTATGAAGAACTAGGAACATAGATCTGTCTGACTTTAAAGCCTTTGAGAGCTTCTAGCTGCAAACCCATTTGTACTTAACCTGCCTCTAGGCATGAAAAAACAAATGTCCCTCAACCTGACCCATCAGTTAATCCCTTAAAATTTCAATCTCTTTTGTCCTGGTTCTTCCCTGTTTATAAATAAGTTCACGTGTAGGAGAAAAACCTTATTCCTACCACTCTGCCTTGAGTATAATCTGGTCTTCCTCAGGTCTTGCCATAAAGTGATAGCCATTGGCATAATGAGAGCAAGGTGATATTCCAAGCACAACATTAAAGAATGTTGACAAAGCTTTATCAAGTTATTTATCCTGTTATCACAAACATAAACATTGGAGGTACTTTAGTGTTCCTGCCATTGTGGCTTCAGAACTTCCCACTGTTTTGCAAAGCCTCAATCTTTTGAGGCTAGTCATCTATACAACCCTCTCATTACTTATCTACCACTCTCATTTACTACAACTCTTGCTGCTTTACTCTAAATAGCTGGCTCTTGGTCTCCCTGTCCACTCCTTGATATTTTAATTACATAGACAATTTATTTGGTGTTTTGTCTCTTAGTTCTTTGGCCCAATCTCTGATAGTTTTCACTCTGTCTTAGCCACTCACTCCCTTTGTCATATTTTGGCCATTATCATGACCTCAAACTGCTCAATCTTCAAAATACTTGCATCTTATTATTGACCATATTCCTTTCACTTGGCTTATTGAACTATTCCCTCTATCAGTCTCTGATTTCACTGCAGCCAATGCTTCTTTCCGTTAGCTCCTTCCTTCTTTAGATTCCTAGATAGCTTAAACTAGTAATTTGCATACAATAGGCTGAATTTCCTTGCCTTTCATCTCTTTTTTTGAACCCTTAAATAAAGTGAAACTTGTCTGTGCCTGCATTTGGACAGCTAAATGCCACCCAAGGAAACTACTGTGGAGCAAATTTACACCACTATGAATCCATGGTTATCAGCTTCAAATGTCTCAGCCCCATAGTCCTACTGGATTTTTTTAGTCTTATCCCTGCAATTACTGTTTCAAACCATATTCTTAAATCTGTTATTACCCCCCACCCCGCCACCATTATCTTTACTTTATGCAAGTAACTCCTTCTTTATAGACAAAAGTAGCAGCTATCGGTAATTCTCTCAACATCCCACAATTTGTTTACCCACATATATGCATCATTCTCTTTCATCTAAACAAGGCAAGTATACCCCTTGTCTAAGGCCAGTGCCTATTCCTGTGCTCAGAATCCTAGTCCTTTTCTCTTTGAGGATCTATGACTTCTACTTTACTGAATTCTTCTCATCAGTGTTTAAACATGCTAAAGACTCCCCTGTTAATAAACCACTTCATACCTCATTTCTTTTCCAGTTACCCTTCCATCTTTTCTGCTTTACAGTTAAGCTTCTCAAAACAGTTGGATAGTTTGGACCTCTTCATCCTGCAGGTCATTTTCTATTTCCATTCCACAACCCAGTTCATTTTGACTTCTGCAACCCTCATTCTATTGAAATGATTCTAAGGTCACCTTGGTGATGACCTTCCTATCTTGAATCCAGTAGTTATTTCCTAGTCCTCACTACCTCACTTCTCAGTAGCATTTGGTAAAATTTTCTAGTTTCTTATCATTGATACTCTTCCATTGGTGTCTGATTCTACTTTTATGGTTTTACTACTACCTCTGACCATAGCTTCTTAGCCTCCTTTGCAGGCTCATCCTCCTCCTAGCCTTTAAATCTAAGAGTTTCTTTAGGTCCTGTTCTTCTCAGTCTAATTTTTCTTGGACAGTTTCATCCCCACTCTGAACTTTAGTTCCTGATGACTTCCAGATCTCCTCCAAGCTATTTGACATCTCCACTTAGGTATCTCAAAAACATCCCAAACTCAATATGTTTCCTAATAAACTATCCTGTACCTGGTACTCATCATCCAGTTGCAGAAGCTCGAAGGCATTTCCCTTTTTCTCCTGTCACTCAATTGCCAAATCTTACCAGTTTACATTTCTAAATATCCCTTGGTTCTCACTACCTTTCTCCACCTTCACCATGATCTCCCACCAGGATTACTACAGTTGCTGCTGCTACCTATACCCACTTTAGTACCCCTTCAATCTATTCCTCACTCATAAGCCATAAAATACAAACTAATGCTTAACCATTGCAATAGCTTTCCATTCTTAGGATAAAAACTGAGATTCTAAATATGACCTGCAATGCCCTGCATGATCCAGCTTCTGCCTACTCCCAGCCTTATCAGTAACTATCAAACACTGGACTGCCAGTACTGTTTGCTGAATTGATTCAAGTCACACTTCACTGTTTCCCTCTGTCTTGTGCTCTAGCCACACTGGCCTTCTTTCACTTTCTCTAACTTGTCATGTACTGTTTCATCTCAAGGCCTTTGTATGTGCTGTTTCCTGGCTTACAGTGCTTTCCCCCTTTATCTACCACTCATTCTTGAGATCCTAGTTATTATTTCCTCAAAGAACTCTTCCCCGGACTCCAGCTCCCATAATCCCTCATGCTTTTGGTGTATCACACTTTTTTCAGCATGTTTTTCAAGTTTTACTTTGAATTATGTTAATTACAGCATTTGAAAGGGAGGATCTAATTTCACACAAAATAGAAGACTCTAAAATATACACATTAAACTGCTAAAAAATAAATTCAGTGGTGAGAATACAACAGAAGTCCAATTTAGATTCTCAGTATTATCACCATGTGTTTCTTCCAAGCTTATATCTGGAGCTCCTGGAAGTCATTTCGTTCTCTGGTGGAGGGGCAGAAAATCACAGCATGAGAAGGAATTAATTCCTGGATTACTGGCTTCATCACATCCACCCTCTTCACCTCAAAATGGCACAAAAGAAACAATTACCACACCCTTTTGGTTTAAAAGAGGTGTTGATTAACTGGGTTGGAAACAGGTCATGAAGATCTGTCTAAAAGAGTTCTTTTCAAGTGAGTTTGCACACACCATCAAGCAAGGAGCCTCTCGTTAATTAGGGCTAGGAAACCAAGGTTTGATTCTTAGGAAGTCACAATTTCATTCACTCAATATGATTTAAAAAATGCCTACATATCAGCTTCCACATGCAGTCATTTCTAGATAAAAAAGAAACCTGGCATCTCTAGAAGGGCTACCAAGTTCCCCTTCCAAGTGTATAGCTGAAAGGACCGTTTTTGGAACTGGGTTTCTTTTATACCTCTGAAAGGGTAACACTTTAAAGCTGAATTATCTTTAGCCTGGAAATCTAACATCTTTAGCCTGTAAATCTAACATTTAGCAATGCTTGCATCCCAGACATACAGTAAAAGAGACAAATTCGGAAGGTAGCTCTGCTGCAAAATAATGTAAAAGTATTGTACAGTATTTATGCTTGAAATTTCAGTTCCAAACCTAGCGTGTGGCCACTGGCATTGTCATTCTTGCCATCCAGGACAGTTGACAGTGTCATTTTGATACCTGGCTTTAGGGTCTCAGTGTATTCTAAACCTATCGGGTTAGAGTTGTTCACTTAGCCAAGAAGCAGGTGTCAGGGTTGATCAGATACTTGGATATTCCAAAGTGAGTATTTGTATTAGTCTGTTTTCACACTGCTGATAAAGATATACCTGAGACTGGGTAATTTATAAAGGAAAAGGTTTAATGGACTCACAGTTCCACATGGCTGGAGAGGCCTCACCATTATGGTGGAAGGCAAAAGGCATATCTTACATGGTGGCAGGCAAGAGAGAAAATGAGAGCCAAGTGAAAGGAGTTTCCCCTTATAAAACCATCAGATCTCATGAGACGTTCACTACCACGAGAACAGTATGAGGGAAACTGCCTTTGTGATTCAATTATCTACCACCAGGTCCCTCCCCCAACACATGGGAATTATGGGAGCTATAATCCAAAATTAGATTTTGGTGGGGACACAGCCAAACCATATCAGTGTTACTGCTTCCTGCTGTCCCGGTGAAATTGACAGTGGTCTCCACCTTCTTATTCACCTTCTGTTAAATGGAGCCACCAAACTGTCCCATTATTCACATTATTGTGAAATTGAATTCATCAGACTTGTAGCCAATTGCAAAGTTGCTCTAGGTCATTCAGAATTTTGCAGTCTCAAAATTTACCTGGTAACCAGCCAACCCTTGTAACCCAGCACCAGGGTGCCCCAGATTGAAGGCCCAGTGATGTCAAAATCCAGGTTACAGCCCAGGTTGATGTGCTCCTGCTTGTACCTGGTCTTGATTTTAGCATTTTCCCCCCAGTATTAGGTGACAAAGGATGAATGAAGGGTCAGCTTCAGTGCACTTGCAAGCTGCTCTTCCACAGTAATCTCAGTCCTAGTGTGTTGTATGTTTCACTTCATAAACATCAGGCCATACTCAGTTTATCTGTACTTGGTCTCCAGACTGCCTGTCACTTTGGTGGTTTCAGTGTTGGCTGAGCCTAAGCTTACAAATACATTCTCAGTTTGTTTTCAGATCAACTTTTATTAAGCCATATCCATAGCCCTTGGTGAAGACATTCCTGGCAGGTTGCCAAGATTGGCACACTTGGGTGGCACAGCCATCTTCTGCTCAGAGCCCGTGGTGGTAGGGTTGGCGGCAGCTGTGATGGGGGATTCATCAGTGAGGCATGGAGCGGAGCGAGCAGCCAGTGTGTAGTGCTTTTAATGGTGTTTTATTATACACCTCATGAAGTCAGAGTCCAAGTCTGTATTGCTCACCATTGTATCTTTATCACAGTACTTGGCACATAATGTGTTCTCAACAAATACTTGTTGAATGAGCATTGTTGAATCTCCCAGCTCAATTTACTATTAACATAACTAAGAGAAAGGCCTATTATCAGAAGAGACAAATGAACCTGCACATCTAACCTTTGACTTTTTGCCAATGATTTAAAGATGTTTTTCACCCACAATCTCACTAGGTGGTATCTTCTACCCTTAATAGTCATGGATCGGTCAACATCTGAAAGGCCCTATTTGGAGCAAATGACTCTGCCATTCTAGTTTCCACCTAATTTCTAAGTCCTATAGTTCTGCTTAAATATCTCTTGAACCCTTTTCCTTCTCTCCATCTTTATTTTACTAACTTAATCAAACTTTCATCAGCTATTTTATTTTATTTTATTTTTTTGAGATGGAGTCTCGCTCTGTTGCCCAGGCTGGAGTACAATGGCGCTATCTCAGCTCACTGCAACCTTCGCCTCCCAGGTTCAAGCGATTCTTCCGCCTCAGCCACCTGAGTAGCTGGCATTACAGGTGCCCACCACCATGCCTGGCTAATTTTTGTATTTTTCGTAGAGATGGGGTTTCACCATGTTGGTCAGGCTGGTCTCAAACTCCTAACCTCTGGTTAACCACCTGCCTCAGCCTCCCAAAATGCTGGGATTACAGGCATGAGCCACAGCGCCTGGCCCTTTAAACTTTTATCGGCTCTTATACAGATGACAGCAGCAGTGTCCTAACAGCTTTTGTTGTTGTTATACTTAAAATTTTTGTTTGATTTAATTTTTTGAAAAGGAATCCCTTCAGCTCCAGTGCAGGTGCAGAGGCTCAACAGAATGCTTCCTAACAGCTTTTTGTCTTGAGTCTAGACTCCTTTTGATTATTTACGAATTAGCTTAGTTACTTGTAATAAAGACTCTGTTTTCCTTTTCTGGCTATGCCCCACATTCATCTATATATTCACATATTCCACAGATATTTGAGTGACTGCTTTTACCAATTTTTAGTGTAAGCTCTGCAGATACAGAGCTGAATGAGAACTTTCAATCCGTGTTCTCTTGGAACTCAAGTTATGTGAAGGTTAATATAAGACAAGTAATCACAACTGTGATGAATGTTATAAAGAAGAAATGTATCTTGTAATGGAAACATACAGTAGTGAAAACTTTCCTTGTTTGAAGGATGAAGGAGAGCTTCACTGGAAGTGTTTTTGAAGGTGAGACCCAAAGGATGAATTAAAATTAACCAGACAGGCCTGGCATGGTTACTCACACCTATATTCCCAGCACTTTGGGAGGCCAAGGTAGGAGGATTGCCTGAGCTCAGGAGTTCAAGACCAGCCTGGGCAACATAGCAAGACCCCATATCTTAAAANTGGTACCAATCATGGCCTGTTAGGAACCAGGCTACACAGCAGGAGGTGAGTGGTGGGTTAGCAAGCGAAGCTTCATCTGTATTTACAGCCATTCTTGCCAGGTGCAGTGGCTCATGCCTGTAATTCCAGCACTTTGGGAGGCCAAGGTAGGAGGATTGCCTGAGCTCAGGAGTTCAAGACCAGCAAAGAAAAAAAAGCAAAACCCAAAAATAAAAAAAAAAAAAAAAAAAAAGATACATGCAAAAACCAAAATATGCTGGACGTGGTGGCACATGCCTGTAGTCCCAGCTACTCGGGAGGCTGAGGTACGAGGATCGTTTGAGCTCAGAAGATTAAGGCTGCAGTGAGCCATGATCACATCACTGCCATCCAGCCTGTGTGACAGAGCAAGACCCTGTCTCAAATAATAAATAAAATAAACCAGACAAAAGACAGGGGGAAGGTCTGTCCTCCTTTCCTTCAGGTCCTTGCTCAGATGTCACCTTTTTATTAAAGCTTACTTTGATTATCCTATTTAAAATGGTAACCCTTGCTCCCCTTAGACATTCCTTTGCTTTTTTTCCATAGCATGTATCACTTCTCACATGCTATGTAGTTTATTCATTTTATTCTTTATTATCTCTCTCCCCCACTTGAATGTAAGCTCCATAAATCAGGAATTTTTGTCATTGTTACTGTTTTGTACACTGATATAACCAAACACTAAAAATAGTGCCTGATACAATTGATACTCAATAAATATTTGTTGAGTGAAAGGAAGCAAGAAGGAATAGCCCAAGAGCAAATGTATAGAACTTGGCTTTAGAGAGAGAAAGAGCATCTCTAATTGGTAACAGGAAGGAGGGAGGAGTGGATAAGAGCAGAGCTACGTGCTTTTAAAATTTGGCATTGGGAGATTGAGAGAGTTCCTTTTAAATAGCATGTGATGGTTAGTTTTGTGTATCAACGTGGCTAGACTATAGTACTCAGTTATGTAGTCAAACACTAATTTGGGTGTTACTGTGAAGGCATTTTATAGGTATGGCTAACGTCTACGCTTAGTTGACTTTAAATAAAGGAGATTTCTCTTGATGATGTGGATCAGTTGAAAGCCTCAGAGTAAAACTGAGGTTTCTCAAAGAAGAAGAAATTCTGCCTCAAGACTGCAGCATCAGGCTAGGTACAGTGGTTCACATCTGTAATCCAATGCTTCGGGAGGCCAAGGTGGAAAGATTCTTCGAGTTTAGGAGTTCAAGGTTGCAGTGAGCTATGATCTGCACTCCAGCCTGGGCAACAGAGTGAGGCTTTGTCTCTAAAAAAATTAAAATTTAAAAAATTTAAGAAGAAAAAATAAGACTGCATCATTAGCTTCTGCATGAGTTTCCATCACGCCAGCCTGTCCTACATATTTTGGACTTACCAGCCCCCACTATTGTGTTAGCCAATTTCTTAAAATATATCTCTTTATATAAATACATTTATCTTATTAGTTCTGCTTCTCTGGAGAACGCTGATTAATAATACATCATCTCCTTTTTTTCAAATAGAAGGTAAAGTCATCATCTGAGAATAAAGCAGAAGGAAATGGAAGATGAGAGAGTACAAGAGGTTTGAAATACTCATTACCCAGAATGGAAGAGTAACCTGACAAAAGAAACTAGAGTTTTGGGCAGTGTTGAGGGCTCGGTAGAGCTTACTGAACAGAATTCCTTTCTGTCTTTGTCTGAAGAGATTTGATTGTGTTTTTTGTTGGTGGTGGTGGTTTTTGTTTTTTGAGACAAGGTCTTGCTCTGTTACCCAGGCTGGAGTGCGGTGGCACGAACATGGCTTACTGCAGCCTTAACCTCCTAGGCTCAAGTGATCGTCCCACTTCAGTCTCCCAAAGTTTTTGGGATTACAGGAATGAGCCACCACACCCACCTTTTTCTTATTTCAAGTCCTTAAATTTTAAGGCCTAATGTGACTCAAGTACTCTTCCTTGCCCTTTCATGAAGAGTTGTCCATGCTCTTTATTCTTGCCCTCAATGAATCTTTTATCTTATTCACCATTATGTCAAAATGAATAACAGCCAAACACTTAACAATTTTATCAAGTGTCTACTACTTAGCAGTCTCTATTCTAAAGCATTTTGTGTGCATTACATTGATTCACTTAATCCTCACAACAAGGTAGACATTATCTATTATCTTCATTTTCTTTTTTTTTTTGAGACAGAGTCTTGCCTTGTCGCCCAGGCTGGAGTGCAGTGGTGCGATCTTGGCTCACTGCAACTTCCGCCTTTTGGGTTCAGGCGTTTCTCCTGCCTTAGCCTCCTGAGTAGCTGGGATTACAGGTGCATGCCACTATGCCCAGCTAATTTTTTTTTCTTTTGTATCTTTGGTAGAGACAGGGTTTTACCATGTTGGCCAGGCTGGTCTCGAACTCCTGACCTTGTGATTTTCCCCCCTCGGCCTCCCAAAGTGCTGGGATTACAGGCGTGAGCCACTGCTCCCGGCCTGTTATCTTCATTTTCCAAAAAGTGAAACTGAGGTAAAATATCCCATGACTAGTAAGTGGTGAAGTTAGGATTTCAGTCCAGGCAGTCTGACTCCAGAGCCTATCTTCTTACTCACAAATGAAAATTTTTATACATGTATTTTTTTCCTTTAATATTTTCTGATCATGTACTCATGGTACCTAGTATAGGAGCTGGGGATAGAATAGGCAGCAATCAGAATCTCTGCTGCCATGGAGCTTATATTTCTAGTTAGGGGAAATAGTAAGCAAATAAATAATTATATGAAATGGCAATAAGTGCTACGGAAAGAAGTAATGCAGGTAAAGAAGGTAAAGATGTTGGGGAGAGAGTTTCTATTTTCTGTTGGACAGTTAGGGAAGAACTCACTAATAAGGTGGCATTTGAGGAGAGAATTGAAATGAGAGAGTAAGCCTTGAGGGCATCTGGAAGAAGTGTTCACTCTTCTACTGTTCAGCTAGTTGTGTATGCCACTAGTTGTCCCCAGTATCTGTTGTCTCCTTTGTGAAAAGAACCTCTAAATTTTATGTTGGCATATGACCACTGAAAACAAAGATTAGATTTTGTAGCTTTCCTTACAGCTAGGTGTGACCATGTGATTGATGTGCACAGTTGCTAGGCTATGCCCTTAAAGGAAAGGGTATGCCTTCCCCTTTCCTTTTCCCTCCATCTCACTAGATATTTTGGGTCTTTTTATTATAGCATTTGTGTGGGTAGGTAGAAGTTTTAGATCAGGGTCCCCAAAACCCTGGGTCACAGACTGGTACCAATCATGGCCTGTTAGGAACCAGGCTACACAGCAGGAGGTGAGTGGTGGGTTAGCAAGCGAAGCTTCATCTGTATTTACAGCCATTCTCTGTCACTCACATTACCATCTGAGCTCTGCCTCTGTTAGATCAGCAGTGGCATTAGATTCTCATAGGAGCATGAAGCCTATTGTGAATGGCACATGCTAGGTGGCATGCTCC